TGGCGATACCACATGTGAGAGTCTTTTTGGCAGCCTAGCTAGTTACAGACCCCCAAAGTCCAATGACCACCTCAAAGAGTATATATCCTCATGTCAGTTTCTCTTGAAGAAAAGACCAAGCCTTTTTTTATATTTTTGTTTACAACTAAAAACAATTTGTTTTGCTAGAAAACTATTTCTAAACCCCCAAACATTATATATTTTTTAAAGCAGATGCCCTAGAGAATAAAATGGTGGATGTTGAATTTTTTTATTTCACATAGTATTTGTGCAGTGATTTTTCAAACGCATTTTTTTGAAATAAAATACACTTTTTTAGAACTTTCATGCACAAAAACATAGTATATCGCTCAATTGTTCAATAAAGTATAAAAGATGCTGATACACCGGGTAAATAGATACCAAACATGACATGCTTTAAAATTCTGAAATCTGGAGTCTATTAGACTCTAGATCTCTCTGCCCTTAAAGCATCTGATCACACCAAGATCGGTGTGATCAGATGCTTTCCCAAAATGGTGGTTTATGTCTGGCTCTTAGACCATAGAGATGACTTGAGGCATTCCAGTCTCTGATCAGGTCTATGGTCAGTCCGTGGAACTGCTGGCTGCATTCTCGGATTCCCTGTGGGACAGGAGAGCCCAAGAAAATTGTGGAAGGAGGTGGTGGGGGGGAGTCCCTTCCCACTGCTTGTAACAGCAATCCAGTGGCTAATTAGCTGCTAAGATTGTTTTTACATGAAATCCATCCGCCAGCTGAAAAAAAACGATACAAGGATAATGCCAGTAGCTGCAGGCATCAACCCGGCATAATCATTCAAAGTCCAGTGATGTAACTGTACATTGCTGGACCTTGTTGGGCATATATGTAACAGCAAAGAGCATGGGCATATGATGAATTAGGTCTGTGATAGATTTCCATGCTAATTATCTGGCAAGAGCTGAATTTGAGTGGCAGGCGATGTATTGTTGTGCGTATAAATTGCTATGGCCCACAATCAATTGATAAAAATCTTCCATGAAAAACAGCGGAGGGGCTAAACACTAGCGCTGGCAGCGAACGGGGCTGATCCTGCTAACACTGCATTTTCAGGGACACTATACAAAGGAGGCACTAGTAAAGTTCTGTTCATGAACAATATATTGATCCATACAAATACTATACTAGTAATGGTGGTGATCAGCAACCTATAACGTGAGTGTGATAGTGTGCAATCTAATGCTAGCTGACCTTGGCTGGGAGAGGAGCTTGCAAACCCTGACACTATCTGATGTTGCTAGTGGCAATAATACAGTGAACAGTGACAAATTCTATATACTGACACTGTATTAATGGTCCTGGCTGGGTGACCAAAGAGTTAATAAGGGTGAACAAAGGTTTAAATGTGCTATTTAATGTGTGTGTAAAATGTAGTGCTTTTACTCAGGGCCGTGTTCTCTCTTCTCTCCCTGGACCGACATAGGGGACAGTGGAGGGGGCAGCAGCATGTGCACGCACACCTGGAAATAGAAAGCAATGTAAGGGTACGTCGCTTTGCCCAGAACTCCCACTCACCCACACATTGTGGGCTGGCAAGCAGCAAATAGTTACAAAAAAATTATCTCAATATTCTTATTTTTACTTTTTACTTTTTTTTACAAAAATACTTTCATCAGAGTAGTAAGAGTAATCTAGGGGTTCAAAAGCTTTTGTTTTTTTTTACACTTTGCATTGCAGGAGCAATAAAGATTATTGCACCTGCAATGCAATGTTTGCTTTGAACTGTCATGAATGGGTTAAGTTCATGACAACTCAAAATACTGTGTTTGGCCCCATGTATCATGTGAGAGCTGTGGGCCAGTCACAGCTCACCAGGGAGAGAAGCATAGCTGTTAGGAATTAGATTGATTCAAAACAGCTTTATTGACATTGTGATCATGATTACATGACCACCTGGTCTCGTTCACTGGGATCTTCATTCAGCTGTGTCTGGTGGACACGGCAGATATGGGGGGAGAGGGTTGCGTGCTTGCTCAGGCACTCAGCTCCCCCCTGTGTTGGAACAACACAATCAACGTATGGGTATGTCGCTGGTCCTGTAGCTGCCGCCTGCGGGCGGGTGGAAAGTGGCTAAAAAGTGAGACTTATTTTTATAAAAAATCGAAAAACTTTTTCATGCTATCTGTACAAAAGAACCATGAAATATGGCTGTAACAGCAGATAATATAAATAATGTGAGAAACAAATGTTGCTTTATTCTATACTGAATGTAGTGGCAGTAAACAGCTGGGAAGAGTATCTGTGTCTTAAAAGGTTTCACCTCTGCTGTGCAGTCCACACACTCTAGTTGTCAATTAGAATAGTCTGCTATCATGATAAAAATGCATAACATCATCTGGTCACTGAGGTCCCCTTTCCATCAGAAATAAACCTATTGGATTTCCTTACAATACCTGTCAATGTTACTCCACATATAGCAGCAGTAGCTTACTGGAATTTTGTTGTACATGTGAAAATTGCCATTTCCACTTTCTTTGCAATAATCATCTTATCTGTGAGGCAAAGATAAGGAAAACGTTGTGTTTTACCACTGTGAATTTTTCCCCAATCCTACTGATTGTCCAAGCTCCATTAGGGTGACCCTTGCCCTTAACAGCAGCCAAGATAGACTCCTATTCTTCAAGGATCATGGCACAGATGCGTTCTGTCCATTGTTTAAAATTCTATTAAGTTGACATTTGGAAATTATTAGTGATATGTGTTCATGTGAAAAGGGGACAGACATATAGGCTGGATAGAATGATTCATATATGCAACAGAAGCAAGAGTCTAATTTTAATGAACCTTGGCAAGATTAGCTCAAGTGTAACACTTAGAAGGATTCAGACACTCGCCAATTCTTTTTTTTTGGGTTTTCCTTGTACACATTTTTTTTAAAGTTATGCTAAACATATAGGTTTCCCACACAAGAATTTATTAGTAATCCGCAAAACATGCGTTCACCCTCCTGCCTTGCTCTTCCTCTAAACCCCTGACATAGACCCTTGTCTATTCCTCCAGAAAGTACTCAGACTCTCCTGAGTACACAAATACTGCTGGCTTCTTTTTTGCAGTGACAGATTCCTGAGCTGAGGAGAGTGGAGTCCTGAGCCACAGTCAACCCCAAACTAAAAGGGATTTTGCACTGCTGTGCTGTCAGTGGGGTCTGTTTGCTCACAAAAGGTGGACCTAAGGTTGAAGACTTCATCCAAGTCTTTATGAAGCGTCCAAGCTCTGGGACCCAAACCAGGATTTATCAAGCCCTTAGAAAACAAACAAGCTTGCTTTCTTTCTATGCAACACATATCCTGGAGCCCCTCGCCCTATCTAAGTGGGAACACTAGGTGACACTTATACCTTTAATTATCCTGTGTTTCAGTTTTGCCAAACTGCACTCACCAAGTTACTACCACTTTCCACCCTGACATGGCTTTGCACTGCCATGATACTTGCCGAAAACTGATAGCACCATCAACTCCTATGATGTAAATCCCCAAATTTGGTGTAAAAAAATTTTTTTTTTCTTTTGGTAGCAAGTATCATCTTTGTTATAATAAATATTTTATGGGACAATTGAATCAATGAAGCAAAAAGAAGACAACAATTATACACATTCTTCTTTTTATGTCCATAGTGATAGCCAGTGAAATCATGTATTTCACAAAAAATGATTAGGCTGTCACTGCATGAAATAGCCAGGGAACAAAGAAGAACAGACAAACAATATGTGACATTTAATAGTAATATAGGTTTCAGCTATAAAATATCCACTTACTGAAATGACTTTCAACATCTGGAATGATGTCTAGATCTCTTAACTATAGATTGATGTATTTATTTCCTAACTAGATTTCAGAAGGATCTATCTTCTTTCTGGAGCTGTAGATAGATGTTAAATTGTTGCCAATCTGTGTTGTTAATATTCATTATCTACATGAAAAGTATTAAAGAATATGCAAATCCGACATTTCATATGTCGGATATATGCTTGCTGTACCATGTACTTGTATGAAAATGTATCCTGCTCTCTTTGTGTTGCTTCCTTTGTGTGACATTTTTGGTGTTACTGCCAGGCCTTCTATTTTGCTATTAAAACTGGCCAATGATCAATGTGGTCAGTTTTCTGGCTGTTTGGGAGCTAATCCAATGATCAGGCTTGTGCTGACATCAACTCATCACCCCCCCCCCACGCCCCCTCCCAGCACAGCCCATTCACTGGAAAGGTCAGTGTGCTGCTGCCCCCCCCCCTCCCCAGCTCCATATGTAACTCAGAACAGGGGGCATGTGTTAACAAAGGGGAAACATTTATTTATAAGGTTTTTGTTTTATATACGCACACACACAAATGTTTTCCTTTCATTTCTATTTTAAACTGAATGAGTTGTCTTAACCTCCCTGGCGGTATGATTATTTCAGATTTTTGGTGCTGAAAGCAGTACCATTATTTTGCATGGAAATTTGGCAATTTATATTGTAGGCCTGTAAGTTTTAGGAATAACTCACTGAAATCTGTCCAAACAAGAGTCTAGTAAACATCCCGGGTAGGATAAAACTTGGAACACAAAATCATAAATTATAATTTAATAAATAATCATAAAAAAATAATAATATAATAATAAATTTAATTCAATAATATAATCAAACCAAAAACACTGAAATTTGAAACATAGCGCTAAGTTCACACATCACTGAACAAAGTCGCAAAATCGTTTTCAGTGTCTGATGGCAAATTTCCCCACAAATCATTATCACTCAATTCTGCAAGTAGTTTTAATTTACTATCGCTGTTCTCTAGCTGGTCTAAAACCACTTTTGACCTAAAGGGACGCTTTTTGGACGCCATGGACGTTTCTCAGTTTCCAGGCAGAAAGAACAGTAAAAATGCAGGCAGGGCACAGGACAAAGCACTAGGGACAAAATGTATGTGAAATGGTTTGATACAGAAATGTTTTACTATGTGATTTTACTGATTTTAGTGAATGTCACTTTTTGTCATTTTCAAATTCCCCACCGTTTCGTCCCTTGTGAGTCCCGACGCTCACAGGGGACGGAACCCAGATGACAGATGCCGGCATCCACCAGATTACATTGCCGGGGACACTGCAGGAGGGACATCGCGGGAACGCAGGACAAGGTAAGTGATCGAGGGATCGCGGAGCAACGCCGCATGGTAAGCCCGAGTGTAGCTCGGGGTTACCGCTGGTGGTACTGAAACTTTTCCCTGAGCTACACTCGGGAATACCGCCATGGAGGCTGCAAGGTGAGTGTTTACAAATACTATATTACATATTCATAAGGCTGTGGACTATTTAACAACTGTGAACAATGCTTACACAAACACAGGTTAATGCAGCTCTGTTGTCATTAATATATAATTAGTTGCATTTTTATCTGTACATGCTTGTTATATTCCTATAACCACTTGAGCGCCGGAAGATTTTACCCCCTTCATGACCAGGCCATTTTTTGTGATTTGGCACTTCACTACTTTAACTGGCAATTGCTCAGTCATGCAACACTTTACCCAAATGAAACGAATATAATTTTTTTTCACACAAATATAGTGGGGGTATTTGATCACCACTGGGTTTTTAATTTTTTATTATATAAAAAAAAAAATGTTGAAAAAACCCACTATTTTCTACTTTCTGTTATAAAACAAATCCAATAAAAAATAAAAATAAAATAAAATTTCTTCATAAATGTAGGCTAAAATGTATTCTGCTACCTGTCTTTGATAAAAAATAATCCCAATAAATGTATATTAATTGGTTTGTATGAAAGTTATAGCGTCTACAAACTATGGTATATACTGTATAATTGAAAATTGATCAGTTCTGATGTACTGACAGCCTATCACAATTCTTGGGTCCTTTAAAATTCCAGGACAAATACCCCCCAAATGAGCTCTTTTTAGAAAGTAGTCAGCCTGAGGTATTTATTAAGAGGCATGGTGAGTTTTTTAAAGTTGTAATTTTTGTCACAATTTTAGGGAAACTAAAGAAATTAAACAAAACTTGTTTTTTTTCCACAATTTTTGTTTACATACTGTCACATTTAAGCATTTTTTACATTTATTTAATTCAATGTCTACTATGGGGGGGTGAAGGTTTTGATTTTTTTTTTTTACGTGGCCATACGGAGGCGTCATACGGCGTCCCTCTTGAGGAGGACACAATGGGGTTTATTTACTAAAGCTGGAGAGTCCAAAATCAGACTCCCTTCTGCATAGAAACCAATCAGCTTCCAGGTTTCATTGCCAACGCTTCATTGAACAAGTTGAGGTTAGAAGCTGATTGGTTTCTATGCAGAAGGGAGTCTGATTTTGGACTCTCCAGCTTTAGTAAATAAACCCCAATGTGTCCGGCCCTTGGGATGAGTGCCAAGGTGGTGCCTGTGTTGTGTTGCCACCCCCTTGTGGGCTCCTCTCCACTGAGCCCTACCCTTGGGTGATCCAGCTTGTCATCCTGCTGGTGTGGGATTGGCTGGTGCCACTCTGGCTCTGGTAGATGGACCAACTGGATTATCCAAGATGGCACAGCTGGCTTCCCGCACATGTACATGACAATGTTGTGCAACCTGTTGTGTGCTCTGATGTCACTAGGACGGCGGCACATGCACATTGGCGCAAATTGCATCTGCACCTTGCCGATGATGTTGGATGCCGGGGAGGGGGGGAAAATTTAAGAACCCTGTCAGCCACATTTTTGTTGTGATTGCGGCACATGCTCCTTGCAGAGACCTGGGACCACTGGTGACCTGACTTTTTGTCTTGATCGGTAAGACGCTTAATACTATTGGGTAGGTTGTTTGCCTGTTTTATGCCACATTCCCATCAAATGCTAACTCTCCCCTCTTTTCTTTTTCCATTCATTTAGTGGGTGGATTTTTTTTTGTCCCTTTAATGCTCTGGGGTAGAGGAAGGGGAATGCTCCTTTAAAGAAAATGTATGTTTATACATCAACTGACTGACCCAGGGTTTGATGAGGTGTGGGGGATTATTGTTTTTTTCATTAAAAGGTCATTTATGAATAAAGGGCCTGGTTTGGTCCATTTTCATTATATTTTGGCACCATTAAAAATCCCCTTTCTTTGTTAATATTTGCCATACCTATTTTAGGGAATGGGTGTCTTTCGTTTCTGGACAGCTGACTGTCTTGCACATGATCACAATGTCCCAGGGGTTGCACTAGTGTGCATGTGCTAAGCGACGTACAGGTACTTCCCTTAGCCTGTAGCTGCTGCCCACACGCAGTATATGTACTGTGGGCATTTGGCAACTGGATAATTGAGATAAGTAAAAAAAAAAAATTATATTTCACCCCATACAAAATGCAACATTATATTTCAAAACTTAAGTTAAATATACATATGCTGTGAGTATACCTACCTTATACTACTGCAGCAACAAACAACCTGTGATGGGCCTTGAAAGATTTATAAAGCACTCACTATTTATACACAATTCTTTGCAACTCAACATCGTTTGTTTCTATATCAATTTGACATCAGCAATTAGGAAAAACACTGAACCATGGAAGACTTACAAGTCCATTAGTAAAGACAGCAATATCTGTAAAGAAAAGGAAAGATGTGGATGCAGCTCCTGGATACATTCACAAATTATTACAGAGGTTAGAAATCAGAATTATTAATTTATTTCTAGTTGTAATTAGTTGGTTTAATTACCCCAAATAGACTATGTGAGAGTTTCCGCTATAACTAACACTAATGAAAAATGCTGAAAGAGACAAATCAGGGCCTTTTGAGTTTTACTTAAGCCATGGTCTCGGGAGATAATCTTTGTTATCCCAAACAAAACGCATTCATCCTGCTGAAATTGCAGTAATTGGATGGCAGGCAGCTATTATGTATCAGAAACCTTGAAGAGAAAAGACACAATAAAATACTTTTCTACTAACTTGCTGGTTACCTTTATTTTGTCATTTTATACAGAGCTTTACTTGGTAATTTTTTGTTACCTTTATATGTATTCACTTAACAGAACAGGTTATAGTATTCATACATATTTCTAAACAACCAACCTTTCAGCAAAATGTATTCAACTGAACAGAAAAAACAAAACCTCTCAACTTCATTGTTAAAGGAACTTAATAGAATATATAGAACAGCCAGCTTTCAGAGGAAAAGAGAGATCTTTCAAGCGATTTTTACAAGCTGAACCTGACATATAGAGATAGGCTGTACTTATGGTGATATTTGTACAATAAAGAAACTATTTAACAGAAAGATGACTTTTAATTTCACTTCACTTTTTCAAGAAACTTCATCTGTCAGTGTCTGAGATTTTGTATTAGTCACTATGTTCTGGCTATCATTCAATTTACCACTCAAAAGCTGCTGTGTTTTATAGCTGAGATGTAGACAGGTGGGATAGGTGGGTAGAAAATCGTTGCTATACTTGAGGATTGATATCACTGATCTGTCAGGTTAGGCAGTGATACAGCAATTGTGTGATCTCTAAATAACTTCCTCCCTTACTTTCAGTAGTAAATAAAGCTGTCCCAAGACCACCACTTACCACTGGTGCTAGAGGATACTCATGATTTTGGGTGGCCATACTGGTGAGGCAGAATGCTATATATAGCATTTGCTGCATCACAGTGTGGGAGGAATAACTAGGCAGGGACAGGAACCCGTTTTGTTAGGGACAGTTAGGTCTCACCCCTCACTTTGGAGTGGGTTGGAGCCCTGGTAACTTTGAAAGTGCTGGTGCTGAATATCTTTTTCAGATTAATAATTCACTGTTGCCAGTTAAAGAAGCCATCCAGTTATTTGTGAAGTACTACTGTTCCTTTCTACAGCTTGAAGAGCACCTTTACTTAGATCTGAGACAATGTATTATCCTAAGATTGTAAGCTACAAGGAGAAGGGCCCTCCTAACCCTCTTGTATTGAACTGTATTTGTTGCTGTATTGTCTCCCATTATGTTGTAAAGCACTGAGCAAACTGTTGACACTATATAAATCTTGTATAATAATAATAATAATAATAATAAACTCCTTGACCCTTTTTACACATTTGGTAATTCCCCTCACATATTGGGCAGGAGGACTGAACATTTCAGCTCATCTGTAACCGTGGAACACCTCCCTAATCTGACCATAGACTCTTTGGAGGGTGGAGCCCACCAGGGTGTGCTAGTTCTGCATGAAGGGGAGTAAGACATGTTAAAAGCAGTGATGGCACTGTTGAAAAGGCAATATAGTAAGGTTACCTCACTTCAAAACAAGTTCTTCATTTAGAGTCAACTAGATGGCTAGACACTTCCATAATTTGCAATAGCCATACAGTGTATGTAGAACTGTGTTGAAAATAAAGATGGGCCTAAATGTGCAGCAGTAGCAGATTCTGATCAATTTCTGTGTGAACAATTCATCACCAATGTTTGAGCCAGAATCATGAAGTGGGCACCTAATAATTAAGTAAGAGTGGATGTTGCTATTTTACAAGAAGCTATAGAATGTGTTTCATTATAGAAAGAAGCTAGACTACCAGAGTAGGGGTAACTCATGGCTCTGCCTTACAAGAGGTCCCTATAATTCTAACATTTGCAGGAGACTTCTACATGAACAATTTAATGTCCTGGGACTCACAACACAAAGCCTTGTTAAGCTTGTTGATTACATCAGGCTCAAAGCATATACATAACTGAAGAAGTGGAGTTATTGTATTTTCCACTTTGCCAAACCATAACAATACTTGCAATCAAGGGATTGTGTGCCCATTTCCAGTGGGAACACAAAAGAAGGAGTTATGGTAATTGTAGAACAAAGGCAGAGTCTGACATTGAAGGGTGAATAGTTGGAAGGCAGAACTTTGTCTGCCATTCAATGATGTAAGGAATTATGGTATCAATTAATTTAGTAAATCTGAGTATCACTCAAATTCATCTGCCCCCTCACCTTGTCATTGCAGGTGTATATTCAGTGCATAAGATGTGTATTGTGACCTTCAGTCCACAGTAAAAGACTGATACTTCCTTACAGTCTGCCATTAAAACTATGGATGATCCACAATTTCTGAGTCTCTTATAGCAACTTTCCATTTCTGTAAAAGGGCTAATCCCTAAGCAACAAAGACACTACTGTAACTGGTACTGAAGCAAGTACT